GAAATGAACTAGAACTGAACTAGAACTACAAATTACACTTCGGACTATTAAATAGACTATAAACTAGGGATGCCAATCCCGAAATCCCGATCCCGAAAATCCCGGGATTTTTCGGGATTGGCAAATCCCGAATCCCGGGATTTGGAAAATAAATCCCGGGATTTTTTCGGGATTAGAATTTGTTTCAAAAAACTGTTTTTATTTTCTTTTTTTGAGCCATAATTTTCATTAATTTGAAAATTACGATCTTATTTTATTTTTGACTCATGCAAAACAAAATTCCGCAGAGCTAATTTTATACATACATATTTGAACCTTTTATTTTTTAAAGTGGTACACAGTGGTATAGGAAAAAAAAAAGAGGGAAATAATTCGGTAACTTCTAAACGGTTAATCCGATTTTAATGAAATTTGGTGTGCACAAAGAGGAGGTGTTGTCGAGTTTAGGTTTTGAATTTGGACCTTATAGGCCAACCAGGGGCCCGGCGGGGGGTCATCAAATTAGGACACCTCGGCTATGTTAAATTTTTAAAACGATCCTATTTCTTCATTTGAGTTCCGATTTAAAAAAAATTTCGTATATAGAATCTCCTCATCGAGCACTATAAAAAATGTTGTCATAGCAGTAAATTATCTCTTATAGTTTAGGAGATATTCGCATTTGAAAATTAAAATTTTAAAATTTTTACCGTCCTTACTTTAGTTTTTTTTGATAATAGCAGGTCCAAATATTCCCGATTTTCGCCATTTTGTTTTATTCGCTTAACAACAAGTTTATATATCAAGCAGTGAAAGAATTATGTAAAAATCATGACTGAGTCCAAAGTTATAGGCATTTTAATTTAAAAAATTAAAAAAAGGCGATTTTTTGTCATTTTTTTTGGGAAAAAAGTATCTTTTTCTTTTTAAGTTATCTAAAAAGTTTCTAAGAAGATGTATATAGAATTTATACTTTTTGGAAAGCTGACTTTACATAAAGTACGATAAATGAAACAAAACCTAAAAATTTTTGATACCGAGGGGACCAGGTCCATCCAAAAAAACCCTATTTTTTATGGAAAATTAAATTTTGAGCAAAAATTCTCAAATCGCATAGTCGATATCAAATTATAGTGACCTGTTTTATATGACCCAATATGTTCTTAATCATTTTGTAACGGGTTTCGATAACCCCGCCCCTGGTATGGATATAATAGGCAAAAAACTAAAAAATCCCATTTTTGGGATTTTTTAAAACTTTTTTGGGAATTCCGGGATTTCTAATAAGAAAATTCGAAATTTTGATTTAATTTTGGATTTTAAGTAAAAAAATCTACCTAACTGTAAAATTTCATCAAAAAATATTCATAAATAAAATTTTTATTGCAATTAGAAAAATTTGTATCTTCGCAAAAACTGAATAAATAATAGCCTAGCACTATTATTTTCATCCATAAGGTTAACTCTTAAATTTGTTACATATATGGATGAAAATAATAGTGCTAGGTAAATTTTCTAAAAGATGTTGAGTTTTCCCTAATTAATTTGTCACTTAAAAAACATTAGGTAGGCATGTTATATATCAATGGAAAGGTAATTTTGTCTATTTTTCAAAACTGTATATAATTTTTGAAAATTAAAAAATTCGCGGAATACTTTTTTTAAAAAAAATTAAAAAATGTTTTTTATTCAGTTTTTGCGAAGATACAAATTTTTCAAATTGCAATAAAAATTTTATTTATGAATATTTTTTGATGAAATTTTACAGTTAGGTAGATTTTTTTACTCAAAATCCAAAATTAAATAAAAATTTCGAATTTTCTTATTAGAAATCCCGGAATTCCCAAAAAAGTTTTAAAAAATCCCAAAAATGGGATTTTTTGGTTTTTTGCCTATTATATCCATACCAGGGGCGGGGTTATCGAAACCCGTTACAAAATGATTAAGAACTTATTGGGTCATATAAAACAGGTCACTATAATTTGATATCGACTATGCGATTTGAGAATTTTTGCTCAAAATTTAATTTTCCATAAAAAATAGGGTTTTTTTGGATGGACCTGGTCCCCTCGGTATCAAAAATTTTTAGGTTTTGTTTCATTTATCGTATTTTATGTAAAGTCAGCTTTCCAAAAAGTATAAATTCTATATACATCTTCTTAGAAACTTTTTAGATAACTTAAAAAGAAAAAGATACTTTTTTCCCAAAAAAATGACAAAAAATCGCCTTTTTTTAATTTTTTAAATTTAAATGCCTATAACTTTGGACTCAGTCATGATTTTTACATAATTCTTTCACTGCTTGGTATATAAACTTGTTGTTAAGCAAATAAAAAAAAATGGCGAAAATCGGAAATATTTGGACCTGCTATTATCAAAAAAACTAAAGTAAGGACGGTAAAAATTTTAAAATTTTAATATTCAAATGCGAATATCTCCTAAACTATAAGAGATAATTTACTGCTACGACGACATTTTTTATAGTGCTCGATGAGGAGATTCTATATACGAAATTTTTTTTAAATCGGAACTCAAATGAAGAAATAGGATCGTTTTAAAAATTTAACATAGCCGAGGTGTCCTAATTTGATGACCCCCCGCCGGGCCCCTGGTTGGCCTATAAGGTCCAAATTCAAAACCTAAACTCGACAACACCTCCTCTTTGTGCACACCAAATTTCATTAAAATCGGATTAACCGTTTAGAAGTTACCGAATTATTTCCCTCTTTTTTTTTTCCTATACCACTGTGTGGTATGAGTCCATACACATAGCACATATAAATTTATTTATTCACTTCGTTTTTATACCTTACACCACTTTAGTGGGGAGGGTATATTGGGTTTGTGCTGATGTTTGTTACACACAATAATATTGGTCCTATACCTTAAAGTATACCAATCGGCTCAGAATCATTTTCTGAGTCGATTTAGCTATGTCCGTCCGTCTGTCCGTCCGTCCGTGTAAACCTTGTAATCAAACTACAGCAATTTTGAAGATAATTCAATGAAATTTTGCATGATCTTCTATTGTACTAGAGACGGATCCTATTGAAAATGGATAACATCGGTCCAATATTTGACCTAGCCCCCATACAACTGAACCCCCCAAATAGGGTTTTTAAGTTCATAATTATGTTCAATATACTCGTAACTCGACAAAAAGCTGCAAAACCAAGTTCTATACTAGCCTTCATGACCCTGATGTATTTTTTGATGATGCGGCCTCATTTGACCCTAGCCCCTATGCAAAGCCCCCTTCGAAATATGACTTAAATGTACACAATTTTATTCAACAAAAAATAGCTAAATTATATCTGAGGCAAGGTACAATTCAACTTAGATGCTTTATTATGAACAATAAATCACATTTTATTTTTATAACTGGTGTAGGGTATTATATGGTAGGCTTCGCCCAACTATAACTTTTTACTTGTTAGCACATTGCAATGTTGGTCGTAGACCGACCCAAAAAGTATACACATTCTGTGTCTGTAAGCTGAAAACACGAGTTAGAAGACTCATTCTATTTGGGCTGCAAATTTGGACCAAAATTGACACAAAAAAACCTAATTGGACCTCCTCTGAAAATCACATTGATGCTGATATTAATATCAATACATTACAATATTTTGATGGTGGGTATTTAATTTCGGCACAGTCGAATACAAACTTTATTTTTCAATACTAGAGGATTTTACATTTCTAACTTTCTACAAATCTGAATGATACCGGTAAAGGTAAATTACCTTGTTCTGAATGCACCTAAAATTTTAAATTAATACTACGAATATAATAATATGTTCCAAAACTAATATGTATTTTGAGTAAAATTCCAAATATTTTTCAAAGAATAGGTTCTAAATTGATGTTCGAATAATTGAATTGGTATCTGTTATAATTATTAGTTCACATGGAACAGTATGAGGTTTTAAAAAGTGCTTATGTCTAATTTCGGAACTTGATATTTATTTTTATTTAGGAAGTAAGTATGTATTTAAAAAGTTTCAGAAATTATGCAATTCTGAAAGTTTTTATTTAAAAATTGAAATTAATTGGATTGTTTTAATTTAAATATATCTTCTGTCTGTTAAATTTCCACAAAATTAAACAATTTTCTTTACAAATATGATGATTTAAAGATTTTCATATATAAAATAATTAAATTCATGTAATCCCGAAATCCCGTAAAATCCCGAAATACCGAAAAATCCCGGGATCCCGAAAAATCCCGGGATCCCGAAATATCCCGGGATCCCGGGATTGCAATTTTCAAAATCCCGAATCCCGGGATTTGTAAAAGCCAGTCCCGTTTGGCATCCCTACTATAAACTAGACTATAGGCTTCAATATAGACTACAGACAAACTAAACTAGACTAAACTATAGATAGGAATAAACTAGACTATGGACCAATTTGTAGACTTGATTTTAGAATAGATTATAGATTATACTATACACTAGGGTATAGACTACATTATAAACTATATTATAGACTAGAATAATAATAAAATATAGTCCTCATTTTAAACCAGATAATTTGACTAGATAATAATCGTGATTATAGAATATACTTTTGTCTATATACTGAACTGATGACAATCAAACTTAAAGAACAGACTATAGAGGGATGTATAGTGTAAACTTTAAACTAGACTATAGTAAAGATTTTAGACTAACTAGATTATAGTTGATAGTATAGTTGAGACTTTGGACTAGACTATAGAGGAGACTATGGGCTATTGTCGGAGTTAAGTTACGTTCTTTTTTTTTATTGAAAAAATCTTATTCTTTTTATTTATTTAAATTACAATTATTTATTAAATTAATCATTTATTTGTTTATTTATACAAAAGAAAATATTAGCAAATAAAAAATGATATTTAGCAAAAAAAAAAAAAAGGAAAAATTACAAGTTATATTAATTTTTAAATTATATTCTATTTGTTTTATGTTTTTTTATTTTTTAAATATATAAATAATTTAAATATATACAAATAATACGTATAAAACCTGATTAATTATAGAGGGAGAAAAAAAAAACTTAAACCAAGGGTAGAGGTAACTAAAGAAATTTTGAAATTTTAAAAACAAAATTTAGAATATTTAAAATTTTAGTTAAAGCTAAACAAAGTTTAAGTTTTTTTTTTCATGGTTAAAGTTTGTAAGATTTTAGGGTTGATTTTGTGATAATCTTAATTAAAACAGTCGTATTAGTAAAGCGTAAGTTTCTTCAAACTGTGAGTAGCCCTAATAATGTCAAGAATTTTATTTAATTTTGCCTTTAAACTTATAATAAATATGTAAAAATTTTGATTAAATAATTTTAAAAGTTTTAAACAATTCTGAAAAGTCTATAAGTTCTTAATTTCACACTTTTTATACAAACTGTGAATAGCCCTAGTTTTTTGCTTTAATAATGAGTTTAAGTCCACAAAGGTTTTTAGTTTTATACTGTTTCGTAAAGTAAATTTCAATTTTATTTTAAATTTAATGTGTTGTATATGTTTACAAAGGGTTTAGGGGGCGGGGTTTCTTAATTAAATTATTAAAATTATTTATAATTTAAATATATAAAGTGTTAAATAATTAAATATTACTATTTCTTTAAAATTCATATTATTATTACAATTTATTTTATATATTTTTTTTATTAAACTTTTGCATTACAGCGCCTTAAAAGCGTAGTTTTTTTTTTTGAAAACAATAGGGTCGTATTTTTTAATTTATAAAAAAATAATAATAATAAAATATATTAAACTTAAACAAATTAATTTGTTGTCTAACCATTTAAATGGCTTGTGCGTATTTTTAACTATTTTAATTCTATTTTATCATTTAATTAAAAGGGACGTCCATTCGTTGTATTACCGTAATAGTTGGGTCGTTCGGGTAGTTTTGGTGGTGCATTAGGCACAGGGCGACTGTTTTTTTTATCAAAAAAAAAGGAAGAGATAGAGAAAATATTTCAAAATTAATTTAACAAAATTTTAAAATAAAAAACACAAACATTTAAATTAAAAAAAAAAACATAAATTTTTAAATCTTTTCAAAAAAAACCCACTCACCAGTTCTTTTTTTTGGTATATCTTACAAAAGCTACAAAAGCTTAGGTTATTAGTGCTTTAAGCTTCACAAACCTTTTACCAGATTTAAGCCAAAAGCTTATAAAATTAAATGTTAATGCAAAAATGAAGTTGTAAAGCAAAAGCAAAATAAAAATTTGGACAAAACATGAAAGATTTTGAAAATATTAATGAAATTGATGCAAATGAAAATGTGCTAGTTTTAATAGATGATATTTATATGCTTAAAAATAGCTTTATTTACAAATATGTAAATCGGTACTAATCTTATAATTTAAACAGAAGCTTTCAAAATACTTTATTTTAGTTTATAATACGGACTACTATCCAGTCTAGAACGGATCTAGAACAGAATTAGAACAGAACTAGAACGGAACAAAAACTTAACTCGAACTGAACTTAACTAGAACTGAACCAGAACTGAGCTACAACAGAACTAGAACTGAACTAGAACTGAACTAGAACTAAACTAGAACTGAACTAGAACTGAACTAGAACTGAACTAGAACTGAACTAGAACTGAACTAGAACTGAACTAGAACTGAACTAGAACTGAACTAGAACTGAACTAGAACTGAACTAGAACTGAACTGAACTAGAACTGAACTAGAACTGAACTAGAACTGAACTAGAACTGGACTAGAACTGAACTAGAACTGAACTAGAACTGAACTAGAACTGAACTAGAACTGAACTAGAACTGAACTAGAACTGAACTAGAACTGAACTAGAACTGAACTAGAACTGAACTAGAACTGAACTAGAACTGAACTAGAACTGAACTAGAACTGAACTAGAACTGAACTAGAACTGAACTAGAACTGAACTAGAACTGAACTAGAACTGAACTAGAACTGAACTAGAACTGAACTAGAACTGAACTAGAACTGAACTGAAACTGAACAAGAACTGAACTAAAATAGAACTGAACTAGAACTGATCTAGAACTGAACTAGAACTGAACTAGAAATGAACTAGAACTGGGCTAAAACTGAGCGAGAACTGAACTAAAACTGCACGAGAACTAAACTAGAACTCAACTAGAACCGAACTAGAATATAACTAGAACTGAACTAGAACTGAACTAGAACTGAACTAGAACTGAACTAGGACTGAACTAGAACTGAACTAGCACTGAACTAGAACTGAACTAGAACTGAACTAGAACTGAACTAGAACAGAACTAGAACAGAACTAGAACAGAACTAGAACAGAACTAGAACTGAACTAGAACTGAACTAGAACTGAACTAGAACTGAACTAGAACTGAACTAGAACTGAACTAGAACTAGAACTGAACTAGAACTAGAACTGAACTAGAACTGAACTAGAACTGAACTAGAACTGAACTAGAACTAAACTAGAACTGAGCTAGAACAAAACTATAACTTGTCTTTAGAATAGCATATAACATGATTATAACATAATTAGAATTTTCTGATATATAATTAGAAATTTCTGAAATATAATTAGAAATTTCTGAAACATAATTGGAAATTTCTGAAATATAATTAGAAATTTCTGAAATATCAAAAACAATTCTGAAATACAATTAAAATTTTCTGATATATAATTAGAAATTTCTGATATATAATTGGAATTTTCTGATATATAATTAGAAATTTCTGAAATATAATTAGAAATTTCTGAAATATAAATGGAAATTTCTGAAATATAAGTGGACATTTATGAAATATAAGTATAAATTTCTGAAATATTAAAAACAATTCTGAAATATAATTGGAATTTTTTGATATATAATTGGAAATTTCTGAAATATAATTAGAAATTTTTGAAACATAATTGGAAAATTCTTAAATATAAATGGAAATTTCTGAAATAAAACTAGAAAATTCTGAAATACAACTGTAAATGGTGTAGAACTGAACTAGAACTGAACTAGAACTGAACTAGAACTGAACAAGAACTGAACTAGAACTAAACTAGAACTCAACTAGAACTGAACTAAAACTGAACAAGAACTGAACTAAACTAGAACTGAACTAGAACTGAACTAGAACTGAACAAGAACTGAACTAGAACTAAACTAGAACTGAACTAGAACAGAACTAGAACAGAACTAGAACTGAACTAGAACTGAACTAGAACTGAACTAGAACTGAACTAGAACTGAACTAGAACTAGAACTGAACTAGAACTGAACTAGAACTGAACTAGAACTGAACTAGAACTAAACTAGAACTGAGCTAGAATAAAACTATAACTTGTCTTTAGAATAGCATATAACATGATCTATAGTCTAATCTATAGTCTAATCTATAGTCTAATCTATAGTATAGTTTATAGTCTAGTCTAGTCTAATCTATAGTCTAATCTATAGTATAGTTTATAGTCTAGTCTACTTTATAGTCTAGTCTAGTCTATATAAACTAGTCTATAGTCTAGTCTATAGTCTAGTCTAGTCTATAGTCTAGTCTATAGTCTAGTCTATAGTCTAGTTTATAGTCTAGTTTATAGTCTAGTCTATAGTCTAGTCTAGTCTACTCTATAGTCTATAGAGTAGTCTAGTCTATAGTCTAGTCTATAGTCTAGTCTATAGTCTAGTCTAGTCTATAGTCTAGTCTATAGTCTTGTCTATAGTCTAGTCTATAGTCTAGTCTATATTCTAGTGTATAGTCTAGTCTATATTCTAGTCTATAGTCTAGTCTATAGTCTAGTCTATAGTCTAGTCTATAGTCTAGTCTATAGTCTAGTCTATAGTCTAGTCTATATTCTAGTCTATAGTCTAGTCTATAGTCTAGTCTAGTCTATAGTCTAGTCTAGTCTATAGTCTAGTCTATAGTCTAGTCTATAGTCTAGTCTATATTCTAGTGTATAGTCTAGTCTGTAGTCTAGTCTATAGTCTAGTTTATAGTCTAGTCTATAGTTTAGTCTATAATCTAGTTTTTACGCTTTAACTTTAGTCTATAGTCTAGTTTATAGTCTAGTCTATAGTTTAGTCTATAGTTTAGTCTATAATCTAGTTTTTACGCTTTAACTTTTAAAAAATAAATACTTTATGAAAAATACAAATTTTTAAAATGATGTTAAACGAAATATAAGAAACTATAATATGGTCCTACGAACCTTAAAATTTTATAAATATAACTTTTGTTATTTATAAAAAAGTAATTTAGGATTTATAATAAAAGGAAATAATTAGGTTTTAAGGATTTAGTTTAAATTTGAAAGGAATTTAAAACGGAAGTAATGATTTGGAATTGGTCCTACGAACCGTTTTAGGGTTTGTTCTTAATGGATTTTGGGTAGGGTTTTTAAAGAGCCCTAATGGTTGGAATAAAATATTAGTTTAAAATTGTTTTTATTTAACATTAGTAAGTTTTTATTTGTTTATTTAATTTTATATATATAATTCTTTTTTTGTATTTGTTTTAATTTTTGTTGTTGTTTTTTTATTCTTTTGTTATTCATATAATGCAATCATATGTATAGTATTTTTCTTTTTAAATTTATTAATATTTTATTTATATTTATATATATATATAGTATAGTATATAATATATAGTGAAATATTTGGTGGAAAGATATAGAGAACATGGACCCTACCATGCTATTTTACTGGTTTCATTTTCATTTTCTTCTTCTTCTTCTATTTGCTATTGCTTGAGTTCTTTGTCTTAAAGAAAATCTTTTTATTTAAAAGATTTTCTTTAATTTTTTAATGCAATTTTTTTGTTTAAACTTGTCTTGTTTTATCTTTTTTGTTAAATACTATATAACATTATTTTTTTAATAAATTTATATGTTTTTTTATTTAATAATAATGTATGCAAATATAATTCGTTTCTTAATCATTTCCTTTAATTTATTTATATTTTTTTGTAATTTTCTATAAATAAACTCTTGTTATTTTTTTTATTATTTATTTTGTTTTTAACTAGGTTAGTAATTAACTTTTGTATTTTGTTGTTATTATTATTTATTTTTAGTTGCTACTAAAAAGCTTTAAAAATCTTTCTTTAAATTTTCTTTTTCAGTATATTTGAGTTTTATCTTTGTTTTGGGGAGGGGGCAAGGTGAGTATTTTATATATCAGTTATAATTTTACATTAATGTTTTATGTGTATTTTTTTATTATATTTTTTTTTTTCTTTAAATAAATAAATAATTACAACAACAGCAAATAACATTTGGTAGTATTTTTTAGATTTTATTTAATTTAATATTTATAAAATATTTATTTTAGAATAAAGAAAAATAAAATTGTAAAAAAAAAATACACAAAAATAACATAAATATTATAGAAAATTTTCCAAATAAAAGATTTTAAATAAACATTGTTGAAAACGTTACTTGAATGGTCCTACGAACCTTTGAAATACTACTAATTGCAAATAAGTAATTGTTTATGGTACTACGAACCTTTAAATATAGCACAGACTCATTTATGGTCCGGCGAACTTTAAATAGTTCTAAGAACTTTCAATATAAACTGATTACAAATTGCAATGGTACTACGGACCTTAAACAGGGTCTAGACCCAACTATAACCTAATAGAATAGAACTAGAACAGAACTAGAACTGAACTAGAACAGAACTAGAACAGAACTAGAACAGAACTAGAACAGAACTAGAACAGAACTAGAACAGAACTAGAACAGAACTAAAACAGAACTAAAACAGAACTAGAACAGAACTAAAACAGAACTAAAACAGAACTAGAACAGAACTAGAACAGAACTAGAACAGAACTAGAACAGAACTAGAACAGAACTAGAACAGAACTAGAACAGAACTAGAACAGAACTAGAACAGAACTAGAACAGAACTAGAACAGAACTAGAACAGAACTAGAACAGAACTAGAACAGAACTAGAACAGAACTAGAACAGAACTAGAACAGAACAGAACAGAACTAGAACAGAACTAGAACAGAACTAGAACAGAACTAGAACAGAACTAGAACAGAACTAGAACAGAACTAGAACAGAACTAGAACAGAACTAGAACAGAACTAGAACAGAACTAGAACAGAACTAGAACAGAACTAGAACAGAACTAGAACAGAACTAGAACAGAACTAGAACAGAACTAGAACAGAACTAGAACAGAACTAGAACAGAACTAGAACAGAACTAGAACAGAACTAGAACAGAACTAGAACAGAACTAGAACAGAACTAGAACAGAACTAGAACAGAACTAGAACAGAACTAGAACAGAACTAGAACAGAACTAGAACAGAACTAGAACAGAACTAGAACAGAACTAGAACAGAACTAGAACAGAACTAGAACAGAACTAGAACAGAACTAGAACAGAACTAGAACAGAACTAGAACAGAACTAGAACAGAACTAGAACAGAACTAGAACAGAACTAGAACAGAACTAGAACAGAACTAGAACAGAACTAGAACAGAACTAGAACAGAACTAGAACAGAACTAGAACAGAACTAGAACAGAACTAGAACAGAACTAGAACAGAACTAGAACAGAACTAGAACAGAACTAGAACAGAACTAGAACAGAACTAGAACAGAACTAGAACAGAACTAGAACAGAACTAGAACAGACTAGAACAGAACTAGAACAGAACTAGAACAGAACTAGAACAGAACTAGAACAGAACTAGAACAGAACTAGAACAGAACTAGAACCAGAACTAGAACAGAACTAGACAGAACTAGAACAGAACTAGAACAGAACTAGAACAGAACTAGAACAGAACTAGAACAGAACTAGAACAGAACTAGAACAGAACTAGAACAGAACTAGAACAGAACAGAACTAGAACAGAACTAGAACAGAACTAGAACAGAACTAGAACTGAACTAGAACTGAACTAGAACTAGAACAGAACTAGAACAGAACTAGAACAAAACTAGAACAGAACTAGAACAGATCTAGAACAGAACTAGAACTGAACTAGAACTGAACTAGAACTGAACTAGAACTGAACTAGAACTGAACTAGAACTGAACTAGAACTGAACTAGAACTGAACTAGAACTGAACTAGAACTGAACTAGAACTGAACTAGAACTGAACTAGAACTGAACTAGAACTGAACTAGAATTGAACTAGAACTGAACTAGAACTGAACTAGAACTGAACTAGAAATGAACTAGAAATGAACTAGAACTGAACTAGAACTAACCTAGAACTGAACTAGAACTGAACTAGAACTGAACTAGAACTGAACTAGAACTGAACTAGAACTGAACTAGAACTGAACTAGAACTGAACTAGAACTGAACTAGAACTGAACTAGAACTGAACTAGAACTGAACTATAACTGAACTAGAACTGAACTAGAACTGAACTAGAACTGAACTAGAACTGAACTAGAACTGAACTAGAACTGAACTAGAACTGAACTAGAACTGAACAAGAACTGAACTAGAACTGAACTAGAACTGAACTAGAACTAAACTAGAACTGAACTAGAACTGGACTAGAACTGAACTAGGACTAAACTAGAACTGAATTAGAACTGAACTAGAACTTAAATAGAACTGAACTAGAACTGATCTAGAACTGAACTAGAACTGAACTAAAACTGTAATAGTATGAAACTAGATCTATCCTCATAAAAACAATCTACCTTTAAAGTTTTTTACAAAATGGTTCTTCGAACCTTGAAATGCTACTTGCGCAATCTTGTCTATCATTCAAACGAACATAGAATGGTTCTTCGCACCTTAAACATTTGCAAAATCTTGAATTTTTGAAACAAACTTGAAGTATCTCAATATTTAAAGACCTAAAGTTTATCCGACAAGAACTTTTATATAAAAATCCTTAAAATTTTCAAAACTAAAATCAAAAATTTGTAAACCAATAAAAATATTTTCAAAAAATTATAGCTAATTCTTAAAACTGAAATATCAATAACTTTCCTTTTGGGTATTTCCACAATTTTTTTTTAAATTTTATTTATATTTTATATAGCAATACTGTTTTAAATAGTTTTTTTCTTAATGTTTTTGTAATTTTTCCTTTTTTTTTAAACAACAATTAACTTTTTAATATGTTTGACGAGTATTTAAAATATGTATGAAGTTTGGATTTTATGTTCTTCCAATATTTAGTTTTTTTAAGAGTTTAATATATGGTTAAGAGCAATAATACGTTTTGTTTTTAATGTTTAAAGAGAGATTCTGCCTTTTTTAAAAAACTACACAAAAACACATTAGCAACAGTGATAATTTATAATAATTTTTTTAATAAAAAAAACTATTTTTCTTTTTTTTTTTTTTTTTTGTTAATATAATGTTAGAAATGTTTTCGTTTTTCTTTAATAATTTTTATTAAATTTCCCTAAATTTTTATTAATAAGTTTTTATAAGTTATGGTTTCAAAATTGTATTTAAGAGATCATGGGTTTTGTGGGGAGGTTTGTATAAAAAAGAGATATAAATTGTGTGTTTTTGTACATACAAAATGTGTTTTGATTAAGAGAAATGTTAAATAATAATAAAATACAGTTTTTAGAAAATTGAACTTTTGGTCCTTCGAACCTTAAAATACTTAAAGATCTTCCAAATCGAGTAATCGAGAACTAGAACTGAACTAAAACTGAACTAGAACTAAACTAGAACTGAACTAGAACTGAACTAGAACTGAACTAGAACTGAACTAGAACTGAACTAGAACTGAACTAGAACTGAACTAGAACTGAACTAGAACTGAACTAGAACTGAACTAGAACTGAACTAGAACTGAACTAGAACTGAACTAGAACTGAACTAGAACTGAACTAGAACTGAACTAGAACTGAACTAGAACTGAACTAGAACTGAACTAGAACTGAACTAGAACTGAACTAGAACTGAACTAGAACTGAACTAGAACTGAACTAGAACTGAACTAGAACTGAACTAGAACTGAACTAGAACTGAACTAGAACGAACTGAAACTAGAACTGAACTAGAACAGAACTAGAACTGAACTAGAACTGAACTAGAACAGAACTAGAACAGAACTAGAACAGAACTAGAACAGAACTAAACAGAACTAGAAACAGAACTAGAACAGAACTAAACAGAACTAAAACAGAACTAGAACAGAACTAGAACAGAACTAGAACAGAACTAGAACAGAACTAGAAACAGAACTAGAACAGAACTAGAAACAGAACTAGAACAGAACTAGAACAGAACTAGAACAGAACTAGAACAGAACTAGAACGAACTAGAACAGAAACTAGAACAGAACTAGAACAGAACTAGAACAGAACTAGAACAGAACTAGAACAGAACTAGAACAGAACTAGAACAGAACTAGAACAGAACTAGAACAGAACTAGAACAGAACTAGAACAGAACTAGAACAGAAACTAGAACAGAACTAGAACAGAACTAGAACAGAACTAGAACTAGAACAGAACTAGAACAGAACTAGAACAGAACTAGAACTAGAACAGAACTAGAACAGAACTAGAACAGAACTAGAACAGAACTAGAACAGAACTAGAACAGACTAGAACAGAACTAGAACAGAACTAGAACTGAACTAGAACTGAACTAGAACTGAACTAGAACTGAACTAGAACTGAACTAGAACTGAACTAGAACTGAACTAGAACTGAACTAGAACTGAACTAGAACTGAACTAGAACTGAACTAGAACTGAACTAGAACTGAACTAGAACTGAACTAGAACTGAACTAGAACTGAACTAGAACTGAACTAGAACTGAACTAGAACTGAACTAGAACTGAACTAGAACTGAACTAGAACTGAACTAGAACTGAACTAGAACTGAACTAGAACTGAACTAGAACTGAACTAGAACTGAACTAGAACTGAACTAGAACTGAACTAGAACTGAACTAGAACTGAACTAGAACTGAACTAGAACTGAACTAGAACTGAACTAGAACTGAACTAGAACTGAACTAGAACTGAACTAGAACTGAACTAGAACTGAACTAGAACTGAACTAGAACTGAACTAGAACTGAACTAGAACTGAACTAGAACAGAACTAGAACTGAACTAGAACCGAACTAGAACTGATCCAGATATGAAATAAGGTTTTAAGGTGTTAACTTTGGTTTCTTAAAAATCACTAAAAATGGTCCTTCGAACCGGTGATATTATTCCAATCATCTTTGAATTAAATGATCTTGATTTTTTTTTACACATTAAAAAGTTTTTAACAACTTTTTGATATAAAAATATTTTAAATTTTAAGAAATATTAAGACTTTTGAAAATGGTCCTACGAACCCTAAAGAGAATTTCTAAGTTGCTAAAATTTCTCTTTAAAAATAAAATGTTCTTTATACATTATAATCGGTATTAATTTGTGTTTTTTTTTTTAGATTTTGTTAATATTGTTGGCAAATGTGTTTTCGTGTTCTAAATAAAAATATAATAAAAAAAATTTACAAAATATTAATAAAATAATAAATGTATAAATAATAATAAAATAAAGAAAAAAAATAAATGTTTTGTGTGTTGAAAATGTTTTAAAGCATAGAAAACAAAGGACATTTTAACTAGACATTCTTCATTCAAATCATTTTTTACTGAAATAAGAATAAGATTAAAAAAAAGAAATTAAGAAAATTAAAAGAGAAAGACAATGAGGGAAAACACAAGACAAATGATAATGAATTTTATAAGTTATATTAAAGATTAGTTACACAAATGTTTTAAGTTATATTTATAATTTAAAAAAGAACTCTTAAATAAGACTCTTTTCTTTGTTAAAAAAGAGTTGCGGTTAATTTGTGTCTTTACAGTTTAAGAGAGGTTTTAAGACAGAGAGAAAGAGACAAGCTTTTTTTTTAAAAGTAATTTAAATAGTTTTCCATAAATTTACTTGAAACGTTGGGCAAAAACATTTGATAATTCATTCATCGCGGCTTGGCCCACCGCTTGATTAACTTGACCGCGCATACTCTCGGGTATATAACGATTGGCACCAGTCTGTTGGGTAATAGCACCACCCACGGCTCCGGTAACACGTCTGTGTTGTTTTCGATTAAGTTTTTTTTTTTTTTGTTTTAAATAAAATTTTAACAAAACAAAACACACAGACAAGAAATCGGTATAGAAAAACATGGAAATAAAATTGCAAAATTTTGAAAAAAAAAAATGAATTAAACATTTACACATAAAGGAAATTGTTAAATATCGTAACGATTGAAACCCCTTTTTTGATTAGAAAACATGACCGGGTTTAACAAACATTAAAACAAATTAACACACAAAACATAAATTTAAGAAAAAAAACTGAATAAAAATGTTAAAAAAATCAAAATAATAAGTGTAAAATGTTTAAGAAAGCGTTTACACTAAAGTTAAACTAAATTGGCTTTAAAAATGGTCCTACGAGCCAAATGATTTTAACTTTAAGTAGTTTTTACTAGAGCAGAACTAAACTAAAACTGACCTAAAACTGAACTAGAGCCGAACTAGAACTGAACTAGAACTGAACTGAAACTAGAACTGAACTAGAACTGAACTAGAACTGAACTAGAACTGAACTAGAACTGAACTAGAACTGAACTAGAACTGAACTAGAACTGAACTAGAACTGAACTAGAACTGAACTAGAACTGAACTAGAACTGAACTAGAACTGAACTAGAACTGAACTAGAACTGAACTAGAACTGAACTAGAACTGAACTAGAACTGAACTAGAACTGAACTAGAACTGAACTAGAACTGAATTAGAACTGAACTAGAACTGAACTAGAACTGAACTAGAACTGAACTAGAACTGAACTAGAACTGAACTAGAACTGAACTAGAACTGAACTAGAACTGAACTAGAACTGAACTAGAACTGAACTAGAACTGAATTAGAACTGAACTAGAACTGAACTAGAACTGAACTAGAACTGAACTAGAACTGAACTAGAACTGAACTAGAACTGAACAAGAACTGAACTAGAACTGAACTACAACTGAACTAGAACTGAACTAGAACTGAACTAGAACTGAACTAGAACTGAACTAGAACTGAACTAGAACTGAACTAGAACTGAACTAGAACTGAACTAGAACTGAACTAGAACTGAACTACAACTGAACTAGAATTGATCTACAATTGAACAGGAATGGTCCTTCGAACCTTATAGTTTTTCTCTAAAGAGTTTTAGGTTAAAATTAAGATGACCTTTTAACCTTTTTTTAAGCTCTAGTGTAAAACGCTCTCCGTTTTTTAACTAAAAAACCAATTAAAGTGTTTGTAAATAAAGTGTTTTTACTAAAAAACATGTCTTTAATATCTCTTTTTTTCTTTGTTGCAGGGGGTTTGTTTATAGCTTTAGGTTTTACTACTTCTTATAATAATCTAAAGGAATTTCCAGCGTTTTTATTAATTAATTTTCTTAAGCACAACACAAACAAATAATTAAAACATTTAAGTTAAATTAAGGTACTTTGTGTTTTTTAATACTTTTGTTTTAAATAACTTATATACTTATCTAAATAAATTTAACATCAACTAAATAAAAAAAATAATAAATTTCAAAAAAAAATCGTTTCTTTTCAAAAATTTCTTTCATAATTTGTTAATAATTTTATACTCAAGCGCGTTTTAAATAACATGTTTTATTAAATTTAATTTTTTGCTAAATTTAAATTCTTTAAATCCAATAATTTTTATATTTGTTTTATTTTAATAATATCTAATGTTTATTTAATGCCTTGTGTTTTAAAATACAATATGGTTTTTTGTTTGTTGTAAATTTTCTTATTTTTTTAGTAATTTTTTTTAATTATTTATATGCTGCACTTTTTTGTTTTTGGGTTAAATTAACGTTGTTTGGTTTTGCTGTTTAGAATAGTAGATAATTTAGCGACGTCTATTTAATTAAGAATTTTCGTTTTTAAACAAAGCAGCACAAAGAGAGGAAGAGAGAGTGAGAGAGAAACATAATGTGAATTATAGTTATGAGAGTGTGTAATACAAAAAGAGAGAGAAAAGTTTATACAACACTAAAGCAGCGTGTGTGGTTTATTATCAAATTTATATAAAATTATAAAAAAACGGAAGAAAAAAACAAAAGCCCCTAAGCTTCTGGGAGATTTCAAAATCTAGTTTTATTTTAGTTCTGTTCTAGTTGTGTTCTAGTTCTGTTCTAGTTCTGTTCTAGTTCTGTTCTAGTTCTGATCTAGTTCTGTTCTAGTTCTGTTCTAGTTCTGTTCTAGTTCTGTTCTAGTTCTGTTCTAGTTCTGTTCCAGTTCTGTTCTAGTTCTGTTCTAGTTCTGTTCTAGTTCTGTTCTAGTTCTGTTCTAGTTCTGTTCTAGTTCTGTTCTAGTTCAGTTCTAGTTCAGTTCTAGTTCAGTTCTAGTTCAGTTCTAGTTCTGTTCTAGTTCTGTTCTAGTTCTGTTCTAGTTCTGTTCTAGTTCTGTTCTAGTTCTGTTCTAGTTCTGTTCTAGTTCTGTTCTAGTTCTGTTCTAATTCTGTTCTAGTTCTGTTCTAGTTCTGTTCTAGTTCTGTTCTAGCTCTGTTCTAGTTCTGTTCTAGTTCTGTTCTAGTTCTGTTCTAGTTCTGTTCTAGTTCTGTTCTAGTTCTGTTCTATTTCTGTTCTATTTCTGTTCTAGTTCTTTTCTAGTTCTTTTCTAGTTCTGTTCTAGTTCTGTTCTAGTTCTGTTCTAGTTCTGTTCTAGTTCTGTTCTAGTTCCGTTCTAGTTCTGTTCTAGTTCTGTTCTAGTTCTGTTCTAGTTCTGTTCTAGTTCTGTTGTAGTTCTGTTCTAGTTCTGTTCTAGTTCTGTTCTAGTTCTTTTCTAGTTCTGTTCTAATTCTGTTCTAGTTCTGTTCTAGTTCTGTTCTAGTTCTGTTCTAGTTCTGTTCTAGTTCTGTTCTAGTTCTGTTCTAGTTCTGTTCTAGTTCTGTTCTAGTTCTGTTCTAGTTCTGTTCTAGTTCTGTTCTAGTTCTGTTCTAGTTCTGTTCTAGTTCTGTTCTAGTTCTGTTCTAGTTCTGTCTGTTCTAGTTCTGTTCTAGTTCTGTTCTAGTTCTAGTTCTGTTCTAGTTCTGTTCTAGTTCTGTTCTAGTTCTATTCTAGTTCTGTTCTAGTTCTGTTCTAGTTCTGTTCTAGTTCTGTTCTAGTTCTGTTCTAGTTCTGCTCTAGTTCTGTTCTAGTTCTGTTCTAGTTCTGTTCTAGTTCTGTTCTAGTTCTGTTCTAGTTCTGTTCTAGTTCTGTACTAGTTCTGTTATAGTTCTGTTCTAGTTCTGTTCTAGTTCTGTTCTAGTTCTGTTCTAGTTCTGTTCTAGTTCTGTTCTAGTTCTGTTCTAGTTCTGTTCTAGTTCTGTTCTAGTTCTGTTCTAGTTCTGTTCTAGTTCTGTTCTAGTTCTGTTCTGTTCTAGTTCTGTTCTAGTTCTGTTCTAGTTCTGTTCTAGTTCTGTTCTAGTTCTGTTCTAGTTCTGTTCCAGTTCTGTTCTAGTTCTGTTCTAGTTCCGTTCTAGTTCTGTTATAGTTCTGTTCTAGTTCTGTTCTAGTCCTGTTCTAGTTCTGTTCAAGTTCTGTTCTAGTCCTGTTCTAGTTCTGTTCAAGTTCTATTCTACTTCTGTTCTAGTTCTAGTTCCGTTTAGGTTCTGTTGTAGTTCTGTTGTAGTTCTGTTCTGGTTTTCATTACGAATATGTTTCAATTATAGTTCCGTTCTGCATTAGTTCGCGATGAACTAACTTTTCGTCCTATGTTTGTTCTCAAGTCTTTGTTTAAGTCAAAATTTCCTTAAACTCCCCCGGAAGCTTTAAATAAAATGTCAAAATTATGAAAACAAAAACTGAAAAATTGTGTTTTGCAAAGTGAGATTTCTCTCTTAAATATTTGAAATTGCTGTTTGAGAAAAAAAGAGGTCCCAACCGACGATAATGAAAATGTTTTAAAAATTCTGATTTTATATCATGATAATAATAAAATTAGTATAAATAATTAACCAAACCAATATAAAAAATAAAACATAAACCATAAAAGGAAAAAAAGAAAGTGTTGTTGTACTTACGAAGGTAAGAGTGGTGGTGGAAGAGCACCGCCTGGGCGGCCACCAGGCAATGGTGGAGCACCGCCGCCAGGGCGATTTGGAATAGCTGGTGCTGGACGACCAGATGCGGGAGGTGGTGGAGGACCACGGCCACCAGCAGAGGGCTGACATAAAGAAAAACAAAATACAATTTTAATGTGATTTCAAAACAAGGAAACAAAACTTTTAATTAACTATAAGGAATTACTGTTACTCACCTGTGCTGCGGGTGCTGGTTTACGAGGACCACCAGGACTGGGTGGTGACAAACGTGGATTATCCAAACCACTAGGTAACCAATCGTTTTTCACTGGTGGTGGTAAGGGGGCTGAGACAGTGGCCATGGAAACATCACCTTAAAAAGAGAGAGAAGAATTATAAAAATTAATTGTTAATACTGATTGGGAGTTAAGCAGCCCTGCGGATTTTCACTTACCAATAATTCTTAAAGCATCCTTGCAAGCATGATACATGCGCAACATTTCTTCACGTTTGCTAGCAGCTTCTGCCGACTCCTCCATCATTTGAGACTTGAAACGAAAGAAGAAATTTATTAATAATTTGAACTCTATGAGAACAAACTCTCTCTTGAAACCTACTTGATCTCCTGAAGCATACAAATGTGCCAACAATTCACCGTTAATGAAATCCTTGGTATTATTAATAATAATCATCATAATGGCTTTGGGTACCATATCCCGTGTTGTCTTTGTGACAATTTTCATATAGGAATCAACTAAATTGCGTATAGTTTCAACTTGACGCTCCAATTGTGGATCAGTGGAGGTCTCAACACTGGCCTGCTGGTTAAGTTGAAAATTTTCAAATTAATAGTTTTCTTTTTTTTATTTTTTATTCAAAAAGCAAAGTAATATTTAACAAAAAATTTAAATAAATTTAATTAAATGTTTGTTGTTTTGTTTAGTATTTATAAAAAAAATTAACAAATAAACTTATTTTTATTAGAATTTGTTTAAAAAATTTAAGTTTTAGTGTTTTTTTTCTTATTAAACAAATTATTTTTTAGGTTAGAATACATTAAGAGAAGATTTACAGAAAGTTTTGAGTAGGAAGAGAAAGAGACAAAGAGCTTAAAGATTTTTAGTAGAAAATTAGTTATTTATAAAGCCTGCAGAAATATTAAAATTATGTTAATTAAAGAGAAATGATTCTAAACAGTAAATAAGATTTAAAAGCTAAAAACTAGAACTGAACTAGAACTGAACTAGAACTGAACTAGAACTGAACTAGAACTGAACTAGAACTGAACTAGAACTGAAACTAGAACTGAACTAGAACTGAACTAGAACTGAACTAGAACTGAACTAGAACTGAACTAGAACTGAACTAGAACTGAACTAGAACTGAACTAGAACTGAACTAGAACTGAACTAGAACTGAACTAGAACTGAACTAGAACTGAACTAGAACTGAACTAGAACTGAACTAGAACTGAACTAGAACTGAACTAGACTGAACTAGAACTGAACTAGAACTGAACTAGAACTGAACTAGAACTGAACTAGAACTGAACTAGAACTGAACTAGAACTGAACTAGAACTGAACTAGAACTGAACTAGAACTGAACTAGAACTGAACTAGAACTGAACTAGAACTGAACTAGAACTGAACTAGAACTGAACTAGAACTGAACTAGAACTGAACTAGAACTGAATTAACTGAATTAGAACTGAACTAGAACTGAACTAGAACTTAACTAGAACTGAACTAGAACTGAACTAGAACTGAACTAGAACTGAACTAGAACTGAACTAGAACTGAACTAGAACTGAACTAGAACTGAACTAGAACTGAACTAGAACTGAACTAGAACTGAACTAGAACTGAACTGAACTAACTAGAACTGAACTAGAACTGAACTAGAACTGAACTAGAACTGAACTAGAACTGAACTAGAACTGAACTAGAACTGAACTAGAACTGAACTAGAACTGAACTAAAACTGAACTAGACTGAACTAGAACTGAAATAGAACTGAACTAGAATGAACTAGAACATGAACTAAGAACTGAACTAGAACTGAACTAGAAACTGAACTAGAACTGAACTAGAATGAACTAGAATGAACTAAGAACTGAACTAGAACTGAACTAGAACGAACTAGAACTGAACTAGAACTGAACTAGAACTGAAACTAGAACTGAACTAGAACTGAACTAGAACTGAACTAGAACTGAACTAGAACTGGAACTAGAACGAACTAGAACTGAACTAGAACTGAACTAGAACTGAACTAGAACTGAACTGAACTAGAACTGAACCTAGAACTGAACTGAACTAGAACTGAACTCGAACCTGAACTAGAACTGAACTAGGAGCTGAACTAGACTGAACTAGAACTGAACCTAAACTGAACTAGAATTAAAAGCTAGTATTAAATCTAGTATTGAATCTAGTCTAGTCTATAGTCTAGCCTATAGTCTAGTCTATAGTCTAGTCTATAGTCTAGTCTATAGTCTAGTCTATAGTCTAGTCTATAGTCTAGTCTATAGTCTAGTCTATAGTCTAGTCTATAGTCTAGTCTATAGTCTAGTCTATAGTCTAGTCTATAGTCTAGTCTATAGTCTAGTCTATAGTCTAGTCTATAGGTCTAGTCTATAGTCTAGTCTATAGTCTAGTCTATAGTCTAGTCTATAGTCTAGTCTATAGTCTAGTCTATAGTCTAGTCTATAGTCTAGTCTATAGTCTAGTCTATAGTCTAGTCTATAGTCTAGTCTATAGTCTAGTCTATAGTCTAGTCTATAGTCTAGTCTCTAGTCTAGTCTATAGTCTAGTCTATAGTCTAGTCTATAGTCTAGTCTATAGTCTAGTCTATAGTCTAGTCTATAGTTCTAGTCTATAGTCTAGTCTAGTCTAGTCTATAGTCTATAGTCTAGTCTATAGTCTAGTCTATAGTCTAGTCTATAGTCTAGTCTATAGTCTATAGTCTAGTCTATAGTCTAGTCTATAGTCTAGTCTATAGTCTAGTCTATAGTCAAGTCTATAGTCTAGTCTATAGTCAAGTCTATAGTCTAGTCTATAGTCAAGTCTATAGTGTAGTCTATAGTCTAGTCTATAGTCTAGTCTATAGTCTAGTCTATAGTCTAGTCTATAGTCTAGTCTATAGTCTAGTCTATAGTCTAGTCTATAGTCTAGTCTATAGTCTAGTCTATAGTCTAGTCTATAGTCTAGTCTATAGTCTAGTCTATAGTCTAGTCTATAGTCTAGTCTATAGTCTAGTCTATAGTCTAGTCTATAGTCTAGGCTATAGTCTAGTCTATAGTCTAGTCTATAGTCTAGTCTATAGTCTAATCTATAGTCTAGTCTATAGTCTAATCTATAGTCTAGTCTAGTCTAGTCTATAGTCTAGTCTATAGTCTAGTCTATAGTCTAGTCTATAGTCTAGTCTATAGTCTAGTCTATAGTCTAGTCTATAGTCTAGTCTATAGTCTAGTCTATAGTCTAGTCTATAGTCTAGTCTATAGTCTAGTCTATAGTCTAGTCTATAGTCTAGTCTATAGTCTAGTCTATAGTCTAGTCTATAGTCTAGTCTATAGTCTAGTCTATAGTCTAGTCTATAGTCTAGTAGTCTAGTCTATAGTCTAGTCTATAGTCTAAGTCTATAGTCTAGTCTATAGTCAAGTCTTATCTAGTCTAGTCAGTCTATAGTCTAGTCTATAGTCTAGTCTATAGTCTAGTCTATAGTCTAGTCTATAGTCTAGTCTATAGTCTAGTCTATAGTCTAGTCTATAGTCTAGTCTATAGTCTAGTCTATAGTCTAGTCTATAGTCTAGTCTATAGTCTAGTCTATAGTCTAGTCTATAGTCTGTCTATAGTCCTAGTCTATAGTCTAGTCTATAGTCTAGGCTATAGTCTTCTATAGTCTATGTCTATAGTCTATAGTCTAGTCTATAGTCGTCTATCTATAGTCTAGTCTATAGTTAGTCTATAGTCTAATCTATAGTCTAGTCTATAGTCTAGTCTATAGTCTAGTCTATAGTCTAGTCTATAGTCTAGTCTATAGTCTAGTCTATAGTCTAGGCTACAGTCTAGTCTATAGTCTAGTCTATAGTCTAGTCTATAGTCTAGTCTATAGTCTAGTCTAAAGCCTAGTATCGATTTCTAAACCTTATTTATATTTAGAACACATTTAAATTTATATACAATAGTTTAATTATTTTAACAACAATTAGTTTTAACTAAGAAAATCTGCAATGTTTTTGCTTTGCAGTTTTAGATTTTAAAAATAACAACAAAAATACATTAAAAATTTATAGCAAATATACAGTAAAGTTAGTTGTGTTTGTTTGTATATATAAAATCGAAAATGAGAGCCAAATTATTTAAGAATAATAATTTCTTATAAAAAAAGAAAAAAACGAACCAATTAACCAACAAAATAACCACAAACCTTAAAAAACACAAATAAAATTAAACAACAATTAAGCAAAATGCTTGGGGGTTAGTTTAGCCATATTAATAAAAAAAACTTTGGGAACTCATACGAGAAAAGAAAGTAAAACAAATAAAACTTGGACGTGTGTAGTTAAAAATTAAAAATGAAATTAACATAAAAACTTAAATAGTAAAAGAAACCCACATACTTTCTTCTGTTTGGCATTAAGTTATTTGTTTTGTTTGATTTGTTTTATTAGATTTTTTTTTGTAACGAGATTTTTTTTTGTTTTACAAAAACCATTTTTTTTATGAAATAAAAAGAAATAAAAATTTATTAAAAAATATTGTTGTGGAAACATAATAATAAATTTGGTGAAATGAGTTGTTAACTTAAAAATAAAACTACGACAAATACTTAAAATTAAAATTAAAATTGAAAAGAAAACCTTTTTGTAAAAAAACCAATTTAAACTTAAAACCGTTAACCATATTACGTTTGTTTTATAATTTCATTTAAACTTTTTTTGTAGGGGTTATAATTTAAAAAAAAAAACTTCTATGAGATGTTAAAAATGATTTGAAATATAACAAATTAAACAAACCTCTTGTCCTTCCTGCATTGTTGATTTTAGTTTTCGTTTTTATTAAAAGTTTGTTTTTTTTTTAACACAAAATTAGAGGAAAAAAAATACATAAAATTTTTTAGGTTAAATATTGAAAATTGTGTGTGTATTAATTCATTTAATAAAATTATTTAAAACAAAATTGTTATAGAAGTAACTAGCTATAGGGGTTTTTCAGATTTGCAGGTTATTAACACTTTTATGGGGGTGTGAAGTGGGGTAGAGAGTCTAGTTTTAAGTGTGGTGGTGTTGGTTGCAAACATGTTAATAAGGTAAATACATTTTAGTGGAATTTTGTAATTCTGGCCATTATTATATAAGAAAATGAGATTCATTGTTAAAGTTTAAAATGGTATAATCATCACATTTAAATAAAAAAATAGGAAGGATATGCCTAAAAAGAAACTTTCTTTAATAATAAAAGAATAGCCACATATTTGGCATAAAGTACAAAACGAACTTCTTTCAAAACCTAAATTTCAAAATATAGCAAATTTTTCAAAAGAAAATTCTAGTCTAGTGTAAGTATTATTTAATCAATAGCCTTTAATAGTTCGGATGTAAGTTCAGTTCTTGTTCAGTTCTAGTTCTGTTCTAGTTCTGTTCTAGTTCTGTTCTAGTTCTGTTCTAGTTCTGTTCTAGTTCTGTTCTAGTTCTGTTCTAGTCTGTTCTAGTTCTGTTCTAGTTCTGTTCTAGTTCTGTTCTAGTTCTGTTCTAGTTCTGTTCTAGTTCTGTTCTAGTTCTGTTCTAGTTCTGTTCTAGTTCTGTTCTAGTTCTGTTCTAGGTTCTGTTCTAGTTCTGTTCTAGTTCTGTTCTAGTTCTGTTCTAGTTTCTGTTCTAGTTTCTGTTCTAGTTCTGTTCTAGTTCAGTTCTAATTCAGTTCTAGTTCTGTTCTAGTTCTGTTCTAGTTCTGTTCTAGTTCTGTTCTAGTTCTGTTCTAGTCTAGTTCTGTTCTAGTTCTGTTCTAGTTCTGTTCTAGTTCTGTTCTAGTTCTGTTCTAGTTCATGTTCTATTCAGTTCTAGTTCTGTTCTAGTTCTTTCTGTTCTAGTTCTGTTCTAGTTCTGTTCTAGTTCTAGTTCGTTCTAGTTCTGTTCTAGTTCTGTTCTAGTTCTGTTCTAGTTCTGTTCTAGTTCTGTTCTAGTTCTGTTCTAGTTCTGTTCTAGTTCTGTTCTAGTTCTGTCCTAGTTCTGTTCTAGTTCTGTTCTAGTTCTGTTCTAGTTCTGTTCTAGTTCTGTTCTAGTTCTGTTCTAGTTCTGTTCTAGTTCTGTTCTAGTTCTGTTCTAGTTCTGTTCTAGTTCTGTCCTAGTTCTGTTCTAGTTCTGTTCTAGTTCTGTTCTAGTTCTGTTCTAGTTCTGTTCTAGTTCTTTTCTAGTTCTTTTCTAGTTCTGTTCTAGTTCTGTCCTAGTTCTGTCCTAGTTCTGTTCTAGTTCTGTTCTAGTTCTGTTCTAGTTCTGTTCTAGTTCTGTTCTAGTTCTGTTCTAGTTCTGTTCTAGTTCTGTTCTAGTTCTAGGTTTAGTTCTGTTCTAGTTCTGTTCTAGTTCTGTTCTAGTTCTGTTCTAGTTTGTTCTAGTTCTGTTCTAGTTCTGTTCTAGTTCTGTTCTAGTTCTGTTCTAGTTCTGTTCTAGTTTCTGTTCTAGTTCTGTTCTAGTTCTGTTCTAGTTCTGTTCTAGTTCTGTTCTAGTTCTGTTCTAGTTCTGTTCTAGTTCTGTTCTAGTTCTGTTCTAGTTCTGTTCTAGTTCTGTTCTAGTTCTGTTCTAGTTCTGTTCTAGTTCTGTTTCTAGTTCTGTTCTAGTTCTGTTCTAGTTCTGTTCTAGTTCTGTTCTAGTTCTGTTCTAGTTCTGTTCTAGTTCTGTTCTAGTTCTGTTCTAGTTCTGTTCTAGTTCTGTTCTAGTTCTGTTCTAGTTCTGTTCTAGTTCTGTTCTAGTTCTGTTCTAGTTCTGTTCTAGTTCTGTTCTAGTTCTGTTCTAGTTCTGTTCTAGTTTTGTCCTAGTTCTGTTCTAGTTCTGTTCTAGTTTTGTTCTAGTTCTGTTCTAGTTCTGTTCTAGTTCTGTTCTAGTTCTGTTCTAGTTCTAGTTTAGTTCTGTTCTAGTTCTGTTCTAGTTCTGTTCTAGTTCTGTTCTAGTTCTGTTCTAGTTTTGTTCTAGTTCTGTTCTAGTTCTGTTCTAGTTCTGTTCTAGTTCTGTTCTAGTTCTGTTCTAGTTCTGTTCTAGTTCTGTTCTAGTTCTGTTCTAGTTCTGTTCTAGTTCTGTTCTAGTTCTGTTCTAGTTCTGTTCCAGTTCTGTTCTAGTTCTGTTCTAGTTCTGTTCTAGTTCTGTTCTAGTTCTGTTCTAGTTCTGTTCTAGTTCTGTTCTAGTTCTGTTCTAGTTCTGTTCTAGTTCTGTTCTAGTTCTGTTCTAGTTCTGTTCTAGTTCTGTTCTAGTTCTGTTCTAGTTCTGTTCTAGTTCAGTTCTTGTTCTAGTTTTAGTTCTGTTCTAGTTCTGTTGTAGTACTTTTCTAGTTCTGTTCTAGTTCGGTTCTAGTTCTGTTGATAGTATTGTCTATAGTTTCGTCTATAATCTGGTCAAAAGTTTGGTCTAAAGTATATGCCATAGTTTTGTCTACAATCTAGCCAATTGTCTAATCATTAGACATATCTCTAGCCTGGTCTCTGCTTGGTAAATAGAATCGTCTTTAGCCTGGCCTATAGATTGCTTCAATAACTGGGTTATAGTATTAAAAAAGCATCTATTTTAAAACAATTTAATGAAGCTTAACTAAACAATATCGCTAGAAAAATCATTGAAAAGGCAACAACTCAAAATGGACATATAGCACAAAATGAAAAAAAGAGACCATAATAAAAATAAAAGGAAAAACTAAAGGACTATGAAGCAAATGATGAGACTGACAACAACATCAACGACTTGTACAGTGAGTAACAATATCAAAATATGAAACAATAATGCACATTTTCATGTTTTACGAGAAACTATATTGTCACTCACTGTACTTTAACAAGACAGACAATATCGAAATAGTTTTATTATAAAGCAATTTAATACTAAAATATATATGTTTTGGAATAGTATATTAGAAGGGAGGGACATAAATTTTTATTGATAAACTTCTTAACAAGTTAAAGAGCAAAAAAAGGAAAAGAATTTATTTTAAATTAATTTCAAAACTAACAAGTTTTAAAGAAATTTTCAAAATTTTAACGAAAGTAATCTTTGATTAAAGAATTTTAAATTTAATATTTTGCTCTTTAACTAGTTAAAGTTTTAGGGACTTTTTTAAATTTAAAAATTTTATATAAAATACTTAAATATAAATTAAAAGAAAATAATAGAAAAAACAAAAAAACATTACCTCATCGCCATTTTCCTGAGTTTCTTGTTTTTCGGGATAGACACCAGCACGTAAGAAAGAAGCCTTCCAGGATTCAACATCTTCAACAGTTTCGCAAGACAATTCAAGTTGTTTGTAATCCTTAAATATAAAATAAATAAAAATATAAATATAATTTGAAAAGAAATAATAAAAATTAAAAAATCTTACCTTGTAAACATTACGTCCATCGGGACTGAATAAAGCAAATGTAACACGTCTTGACATGGACATGAAACCCTGTTCAATGTCTCTTAATTTTAAACCATCTAATGGCAACATGAATTTCTTTTCTTTTTCATCTTCGTCCTTATACCAGGAAATACTTTCCGAGGTCAAAACAAACCAATAAGGACGAGAGCCACCTAAATTAAGTTAATTTTTAAATATTAAAGAAAGAAATTTGAAAAAAAAAATAAACAAAAATTAGTTAATATTTTTTTAAAAGTTGTTGGTTTAATATTAAAGTTTTTAAACTAATTTTACTATCTTGTTTTTTTTAAATTTTAATGATTTTGTAAATTTTATTTAAATAGTCGGAAGAGTTTAAAAACCTTTTGGTTATATATTTATATAAATAACACTATTTTATAAACTAAGATGAATGTATGAGGAGTATAATGCCAATGGAACTATTCAAAAAAATCCTAGAAAGCAAATACAAAATATTGAGAAAATTAATGCTGTTTTGAAACAACAGCATAGTCTAGTCTATAGTCTAGTCTATAGTCTAGTCTATAGTCTAGTCTATAGTCTAGTCTATAGTCTAGTCTATAGTCTAGTCTATAGTCTAGTCTATAGTCTAGTCTATAGTCTAGTCTATAGTCTAGTCTATAGTCTAGTCTATAGTCTAGTCTATAGTCTAGTCTATAGTCTAGTCTATAGTCTAGTCTATAGTCTAGTCTATAGTCTAGTCTATAGTCTAGTCTATAGTCTAGTCTATAGTCTAGTCTATAGTCTAGTCTATAGTCTAGTCTATAGTCTAGTCTATAGTCTAGTCTATAGTCTAGTCTATAGTCTAGTCTATAGTCTAGTCTAGTCTAGTCTAGTTCTGTTCTAGTTCTGTTCTAGTTCTGTTCTAGTTCTTTTCTAGTTCTGTTCTAGTTCTAGTTCTGTTCTAGTTCTGTTCTAGTTCTGTTCTAGTTCTGTTCTAGTTCTGTTCTAGTTCTGTTCTAGTTCTGTTCTAGTTCTATTCTAGTTCTATTCTAGTTCTGTTCTAGTTCTGTTCTAGTTCTGTTCCAGTTCTGTTCCAGTTCTGTTCTAGTTCTGTTCTAGTTCTGTTCTAGTTCTGTTCTAGTTCTGTTCTAGTTCTGTTCTAGTTCTGTTCTAGTTCTGTTCTAGTTCTGTTCTAGTTCTGTTCTAGTTCTGTTCTAGTTCTGTTCTAGTTAGTTCTTTTCTAGTTCTGTTCTAGTTCTGTTCTAGTTCTGTTCTAGTTCTGTTTCTAGTTCTGTTCTAGTTCTGTTCTAGTTCTGTTCTAGTTCTGTTCTAGTTCTGTTCTAGTTCTGTTAGTCTAGTTCTGTTCTAGTTCTGTTCTAGTTCTGTTCTAGTTCTGTTCTAGTTCTGTTCTAGTTCTGTTCTAGTTCTGTTCTAGTTCTGTTCTAGTTCTGTTCTAGTTCTGTTCTAGTTCTGTTCTAGTTCTGTTCTAGTTCTGTTCTAGTTCTGTTCTAGTTCTGTTCTAGTTATGTTCTAGTTCCGTTCTAGTTCTGTTCTAGTTCTGTTCTAGTTCTGTTCTAGTTATGTTCTAGTTCTGTTCTAGTTCTGTTCTAGTTCTGTTCTAGTTCTGTTCTAGTTCTGTTCTAATTCTGTTCTAGTTCTGTTCTAGTTCTGTTCTAGTTCTGTTCTGTTCTAGTTCTGTTCTGTTCTGTTCTAGTTCTGTTCTGTTCTGTTCTGTTCTGTTCTAGTTCTGTTCTAGTTCTGTTCTAGTTCTGTTCTAGTTCTGTTCTAGTTCTGTTCTAGTTCTGTTCTAGTTCTGTTCTAGTTCTTTCTAGTTCTGTTCTAGTTCTGTTCTAGTTCTGTTCTAGTTCTGTTCTAGTTCTGTTCTAGTTCTGTTCTAGTTCTGTTCTGTTCTAGTTCTGTTCTAGTTCTGTTCTAGTTCTGTTCTAGTTCTGTTCTAGTTCTGTTCTAGTTCTGTTCTAGTTCTATTCTAGTTCTGTTCTACATCTGTTCTAGTTCTGTTCTAGTTTTGTTCTAGTTCTGTTCTAGTTCTGTTCTAGTTCTGTGTTAGTTCTGTGTTAGTTCTGTTTTAGTTCTGTTCCAGTTCTGTTCTAGTTCTGTTTTAGTTCTGTTTTTGTTCTGTTCTGTTCTCGTTTTGTTCTAGTTCTTTTCTATTAAGTAAAAAAAGTGATAATATGAAGAAACTTAAAAAAATTTTGGGAATAAATTTCAAAACAGCCTAAAATTTTCTCAAACTATATGTATATACGGCTCAAAATAATAATTATGTTGTGGAGGGAGTAGACAATAATTTCGCCAGGAAAAGGACACAATTAAGTTAAACACAATTTTTATTTTTTAAAGGCATGCGTTGTTTAAAAACGAAATTATTAAAAAAGGAAATTAAAAACAAACAAAACAAATGCAAATGATTAACACAAAAAGAAAAACTTAACTCGATGAAAAAAACAACAAAATTACAAACTTTACAGAAAGAATAAAAGAAATTAAAAGAAGAGCGCATTTCAATACGAACCAATAGCGCGAGGTAATAAAAACATCAAAGCTACAAAAAGAAAAAATGAATAAAAAACGAAAAAATTTTGAAAAAACAAATACAAAACGAATAAAATAACAAAAAAAATTAAAAGAGAATTTTGTACAAAAAAACTAACAGAAATTGTTATAAAACAAAGAAATATCAACGTGCAGTTAATTTAACAAGAAAAAAACAACACATTCTTTAAGGAAAAAGGGAATTTAAGAAAATTTCTAAAGAAAAAACCTAAACTTTTAACATGATATTGTAGTTGTTGTATTATTTTAAGACTTAAAACTAGGGGTTTTCTTATGTTACAAATACAAACCTTTCATGATGCCTAAATTTTGTATAACCATATGACCCTTACGGATCACCTGGTTACCCAGTTGACGTGTACCAGTTTTATTAGCATTTTCAGATTTATTCTGAGCACTAAGATAACCCAAAAAAAGAACATAAAAAGAAAAAAAGAGAGAGAATAAAGAGAGAAAGAACAAATTAAATTATTTGTTGAGTTTACAATTATAAACCTAGACTGAAAAACCCTTACTTGGCAAAACCAATGAAATCTTCATGATTGGTATTCATATAGGCCAATTCAAAATCAATAAGTAATAAAATTTGTTCTTTGCACCGTTGTTCCTGTTCTCGTATGTGCGTGGTAATAATACGTTCTGTTTCTTCACGTAAACGTGGATAACGTGACATCTAGTTATGTTTTTCCAAAAATAAATATGAAAAACCCCAAAAAAAAGAGAGAAAAAAGAAAACAAAATAAGTTTCAAGCAATACAAAAACTAGCAGTTTCATTACAGTATTTGAAAAAAAGTGAGAGTAAAAGAAAGAGTATAAAAGTGGGAAAAAAAAAGTAGGAAATCTGATTACTTACCTTATCGGTGCATAAACGTACAACAGCTGACAATTCCTGTACGACTAGATCGACACATTTGATGACAGGTTCTTTCAATTGTGCAATTTGACGTTTAACAATGGCTTCGAAAGCCATGTCGGGTGTGAAGAGGCCCACACGTATACCGTGTATATTGCGAATGGCAAATGAGATTTCGCGACGCAACTCCTTTTCGTCGCAGGCCATTTTAACAATTTCAAAACGTAAGCTGTAAGAGAAAAAAGGTGCAAATTTTTTAAATTTTGTTTCAATACACAAGCTTTATTACAAAATTAATAAAGTTTTGCTAAAATTTCTTCAATATAAATATTTTTCTTTAAGGGAAATTTTCCAATACTAAAGAAATTTAAGATTTTTTCTAAATTTTCTTTCAATAAACAAGCCTCATTACAAAAATCATAAAATTTAAAAAAAAAATCCCTTTAAATTAAAATTTCCCTCTTGGGGAAATTTTTTTAAACAAGAAAAATTTTGAAAATTTTTTTAAATTTAATTTCAGCAAACAATCTACATAACATAATTGATAAAATCTTGATAAACTTTCTTTTAAATAAAATTTCCCTTGAAGGGAAATTTTTTGCAACAAGGGAAATTTTGAAAATTTTCTTAAATTTAGTTTCACCAAAAACGCTATATTACAAAATTTATAAAATTTTGCAAAAATTCCTTCAAAATAAAATTTCCCTTTAAGGGTAATTTTTCAAAACTAGGGAAATTTTTAAAATTTTTCTAAATTTAGTTTCAATAAACAAGCTTTATTAGAAAATTCAAAAAAATTTGCAAAAATTCCTTCAAAATAAAATTTCCCTTGAAGAGAAATTTTTCCAACAAGGGAAATTCTGAAAATGTTCTTAAATTCTGTTTCAATAAACAAGCTTTATTACAAAAATCATAAAATTTTGCAAAAATTCCTTCAAAATAAAATTTCCCTCTTTTGTGCTTGAACTAGAACTGAACTAGAACTGAACTAGAACTGAACTAGAACTAAACTAGAACTGAACTAGAACTGAACTAGAACTGAACTAGAAATGAACTAGAACTGAACTAGAACTGAACTAGAACTGAACTAGAACTGAACTAGAACTGAATTAGAACTGAACTAGAACTGAACTAGAACTGAACTAGAACTGAACTAGAACTGAACTAGAATTAGAACTGAACTAGAATTAGAACTGAACTAGAATTAGAACTGAACTAGAATTAGAACTGAACTAGAATTAGAACTGAACTAGAATTAGAACTGAACTAGAACTGAACTAGAACTGAACTAGAACTGAACTAGAACTGAACTAGAACTGAACTAGAACTGAACTAGAACTGAACTAGAACTGAACTAGAACTGAACTAGAACAGAACTAGAACTGAACTAGAACTGAACTAGAACTGAACTAGAACTGAACTAGAACTGAACTAGGACTGACTGAACTAGAACTGAACTAGAACTGAACTAGAACTGACTAGAACTGAACTAGAACTGAACTAGAACTGAACTAGAACTGAACTAGAACTGAACTAGAACTGAACTAGAACTGAACTAGAACTGAACTAGAACTGAACTAGAACTGAACTAGAACTGAACTAGAACTGAACTAGAACTGAACTAGAACTGAACTAGAACTGAACTAGAACGAACTAGAACTGAACTAGAACTGAACTAGAACTGAACTAGAACTGAACTAGAACTGAACTAGAACTGAACTAGAACTGAACTAGAACTGAACTAGAACTGAACTAGAACTGAACTAGAAACTGAACTAGAACTGAACTAGAACTGAACTAGAACTGAACTAGAACTGAACTAGAACTGAACTAGAACTGAACTAGAACTGAACTAGAACTGAACTAGAACTGAACTAGAACTGAACTAGAACTGAACTAGAACTGAACTAGAACTGAACTAGAACTGAACTAGAACTGAACTAGAACTGAACTAGAACTGAACTAGAACTGAACTAGAACTGAACTAGAACTGAACTAGAACTGAACTAGAACTGAACTAGAACTGAACTAGAACTGAACTAGAACTGAACTAGAACTGAACTAGAACTGAACTAGAACTGAACTAGAACTGAACTAGAACTGAACTAGAACTGAACTAGAACTGAACTAGAACTGAACTAGAACTGAACTAGAACTGAACTAGAACAGAACTAGAACTGAACTAGAACTGAACTAGAACTGAACTAGAACTGAACTAGAACTGAACTAGAACTGAACTAGAACTGAACTAGAACTGAACTAGAACTGAACTAGAACTGAACTAGAACTGAACTAGAACTGAACTAGAACTGAACTAGAACTGAACTAGAACTGAACTAGAACTGAACTAGAACTGAACTAGAACTGAACTAGAACTGAACTAGAACTGAACTAGAACTGAACTAGGACTGAACTAGGACTGAACTAGAACTGAACTAGAACTGAACTAGAACTGAACTAGAACTAGAACTGAACTAGAACTGAACTAGAACTGAACTAGAACTGAACTAGAACTGAACTAGAACTGAACTAGAACTGAACTAGAACTGAACTAGAACTGAACTAAAACTGAACTCGTCCATCAAAGAACTGAATTAGAACTAGAACTGATCTGGAAAACAACTAGAACTGATCACGAACTTGACTAGAATTGAAGAACAATTAAAATATAAATATTCTTTCACTTTTACTTACCGTTCATGGAATATACGATTTATTTTAGCACCACCCGACAATTCATTGGTATTAACCAAAGCCGAACCAGAACCCTCAATAGTGCGCTCAAAATCTGACTGTAACTGTTGGATCATTCTAAAAAATTACAATTAATTCATTAATAAGAATTGCTCTTTCTAAACAAATTTCCCCTTTCAAACTTACTGCAACATAGCCTTTGTTTTCAAACTAGTATCGCCCGGTTGGAAATGTTTAAATTCGGCCACATCCTTTTCCAAAGCCAACATTTGTTTCTGCAATTTATCTCTCAAAGCGGGCAATGTATCGCGTATGTGATTCGTCAATTGTTGATTTAAAACGCGCTGCAAATATGGAGTTCCCAAACGATCGGCAATATGACGATAAGATGGATGACTTAGGAAAAATCTTCTTTCGGCCGCCAAGGCAGCATGAATATCCTTACGACCCTCAATATCCTTTTGAGAACGATTCACTACACCAATATAGCCACGGCGTAGCGGTAACAGTTTATTTTCCAAAATATCTCGAGCATCTGTACCCTCGTCCATCAAATCTAATTTAGTGATAACACCAATTGTACGTATACCCTGGGGATCAACATCTTTGGCCAATTTTAAAGCATCAGAATTGGCCAAATCTGTATTGGCAGGTGTTACGGCCAAGATTAGACATGTTTCTTTGCGTATAAACTGCAAGATCATTTGACGAATCTGTTGTTCAATATCTTGTGGCTGATCACCAATGGCCACCTTTGTCAAACCGGGCAAATCAATCAAAGTCAAGTTGAGTACATGAGGCGAATAGACACGCAAATTGATTGGAATGTTAGAAATTCCCTTATTGCTACCGGTGACACGATCTGTTTCATCTTCAATCTCTTTGCGTATCTCATCAAAACTGGTAAATTTTTTACCCTTACAATGTAAGAATTCACCATGTTCTAAAAGTGAAAAGGAAAAATTAGTTTTGCTGGGGAGATTCAAGACAATCTCAACTTACCCGTAGTACCATTGATCAGTTGCAAGATCAAGGGACGTCTGGTGACAATACCCGAACCACGAGGTAAAAAATCTCTGTAAAAAATTAAAAATTTATTAGAAAAAATGTTATTTTTAAAGGAAAAGGCTTAAGACTTCTTTCTAGCTTGTAATCAATGTTTTGGAGATTAAAGAGAAGTTCTATAAGAAGTCTAGATCAGTGTAGACCTCCCTAAAAGCAAAACTTTTATTATCTTTTGTTTACAACATAAGTTATTTAAAACGTTTTGTCCACATAAAACTATTTTAAGACTTTGCTCATAGATATGATAAGAAACAAAAGCAAATATAATTGGTTTTCTTGTGTTTAACATAAAAAACAAAAGAATTTATATGAAATGTTGGAAGCTTAACTTCCTCCAGTTTATTTTTAATATAATTTCTATTATTTACATAAAATATTAGTGTTTGGACAACAGCAAAAGATGCTAGTTTCAAATTTCACCCCATCCCTCTACGAAAAAGAGAGTTTTTTCTTGAAACAATATTAAAATTTTATTTTTAGTCCAAACATAAATGTAATTTTGTAATATCGAAAAAATAATTGCTTAATTTCTTTAAATGCATGTTATAAATAATTATTTTGTATTGTTGTTTATATCTCGGTCTAAAAAATCAGTCAATTATGATTATAGACTTGTTGCCAGATAAGATAATTTTATAAACGTAATGAAAGTAAATAACAAAATATTAATTCTCTTTTTTCTTTTGCCATAATTAAACAGTTTAAATAAATAGAGTGACAAATATTATTTGGAACACCCCAAAAGGGATGGGATATTAACTGGAAAAAAGGTGTAAAAATCAAATAAGTGAAATGAAATAAAACAAAATCGTAGGGAAAAATATTCTAATTCAGGTCTGTTCTGTTCTAGTTCTGTTTTAGTTCTGTTCTAGTTCTGTTCTAGTTCTGTTCTAGTTCTGTTCTAGTTCTGTTCTAGTTCTGTTCTAGTTCTGTTCTAGTTCTGTTCTAGTTCTGTTCTAGTTCTGTTCTTGTTCTGTTCTTGTTCTGTTCTAGTTCTTTTCTAGTTCTGTTCTAGTTCTGTTCTAGTTCTGTTCTAGTTCTGTTCTAGTTCTGTTCTAGTTCTGTTCTAGTTCTGTTCTAGTTCTGTTCTAGTTCTGTTCTAGTTCTGTTTCTAGTTCTGTTCTAGTTCTGTTCTAGTTCTGTTCTAGTTCTGTTCTAGTCTGTTCTAGTTCTGTTCTAGTTCTGTTCTAGTTCTGTTCTAGTTCTGTTCTAGTTCTGTTCTAGTTCTGTTCTAGTTCTGTTCTAGTTCTGTTCTAGTTCTGTTCTAGTTCTGTTCTAGTTCTGTTCTAGTTCTGTTCTAGTCTGTTCTATTCTGTTCTAGTTCTGTTCTAGTTCTGTTCTAGTTCTGTTCTAGTTCTGTTCTAGTTCTGTTCTAGTTCGGTTCTAGTTCTGTTCTAGTTCTGTTTAGTTCTGTTCTAGTTCTGTTCTAGTTCTGTCTAGTTCTTAGTTCTAGTTCTGTTCTAGTTCTGTTCTAGTTCTGTTCTAGTTCTGTTCTAGTTCTGTTCTAGTTCTGTTCTAGTTCTGTTCTAGTTCTGTTCTAGTTCTGTTCTAGTTCTGTTCTAGTTCTGTTCTAGTTCTGTTCTAGTTCTGTTCTAGTTCTGTTCTAGTTCTGTTCTAGTTCTGTTCTAGTTCTGTTCTAGTTCTGTTCTAGTTCTGTTCTAGTTCTGTTCTAGTTCTTTCTATTCTGTTCTAGTTCTGTTCTAGTTCTGTTTAGTTCTGTTCTAGTTCTGTTCTAGTTCTGTTCTAGTTCTGTTCTAGTTCTTTCTAGTTCTGTTCTAGTTCTGTTCTAGTTCTGTTCTAGTTCGTTCTAGTTCTGTTCTAGTTCTGTTCTAGTTCTGTTCTAGTTCTGTTCTAGTTCTGTTCTAGTTCTGTTCTAGGTTCTGTTCTAGTTCTGTTCTAGTTCTGTTCTAGTTCTGTTCTAGTTCTGTTCTAGTTCTGTTCTAGTTCTGTTCTAGTTTCTGTTTCTAGTTCTGTTCTAATTCTGTTCTAATTCTGTTCTAGTTCTGTTCTAGTTCCTGTTCTAGTTCTGTTCTAGTTCGTTCTATGTTCTGTTTTAGTTCTGTTCTAATTCTGTTCTAGTCCTGTTCTAGTCCTGTTCTAGTTCCTGTTCTAGTCCTGTTCTGTTTCTAGTTCTTCTAGTTCTGTTCTAGTTCTGTTCTAGTTCTGTCTAGTTCGGTTCTAGTTCTGTTCTAGTCTCTGTTCTAGTTCTGTTCTAGTTCTGTTCTAGTTCTGTTCTAGTTCTGTTCTAGTTCTGTTCTAGTTCTGTTCTAGTTCTAGTTCTGTTCTAGTTCTGTTCTAGTTCTGTTCTAGTTCTGTTCTAGTTCTGTTCTAGTTCTGTTCTAGTTCCTGATTCCTGATCAATTATATTTTAGTTGGTAGATCAATTTTTTCTTTATTTATCAATAATTTCTACTCAATTCTGCTTTCATTTACTGTTTAAATTCAAAAATTTTTGCAAAATTATGATCAATTTAATAAAATTGTTGCCGAAAAAAATGTTGTCATTGTCTTTTTATTGAACGCCTGGGTGACGTTTTCATTTATTTATTTTTGTTTAATAATTTTAATTAATAGTTAATTTAAGTAATTCCAACTTATTGTACAATTTCAACACGCAATATTGTTGTTGTAGCTGTTGTTTTACAACATCTGCATTTGTATTATATTTCATTTGAAATTTATAAAATTGTATGTTGATAGAAAATTTTATTTTGCAAAATAATTTCAATGATTCAACTAATTTGCGGTTTCGATTCTATGGTTTTTATATTTTATAAGATAAAAATATCTAAGGCAGTGGTTAATGTATTAATCTGTTTCAATAAAAGAGGGTTTTTATAAAGGGAATTTAAAAGAAATTTTTAAAAAACGTTTTCTCATTAAATATTTTAAAATAAAATCTATAAAGAATTTAATGGTTGTAATATCCCCCAGATCTTTATACAATTTTAAAGATATTTCTGGTCCTGAGTCATTGAATAGATCTAAAAGTATATGATTCATTTAATATCTTTTATTAAATGTCACAGACTTAAGTTAACTGTGAAGAAATTGTTATTAATTTAATAAATTCTTTAGCTTTTAATCATATTATGCAATAATCATTTACAAAAGAAAATTTCAGTTTGAATTTTGTTGTTCACACTCCAAATTACTTTAAACACATTGCAAAAAAGCAATGACCCCTAAATGTATTAAAAAAAACTGCATTTTTGCCATGAAAATATAAATGCAACAAAAGTTTTTTAAAAGGAAATACATATTACCAGTCGGGGCAATTTTTTCCTTATTTAATTAAAATAATCAAAAGTGTTATACTAAACTAAACTTAATTGCAAAAAAAAAAAAAAATAATAAATAAACAAAAGTATAAGAGAGAGTGGAATCACTGCTGAGTAGTTTACAAGTAATTGCATTATTCTATAGTTAATAATTTTCCATGGCAGAGAGCGTTTTTTGGTGGTGCGAATGTTAAGCAGAGAAAAATGTTAATGACCCAGTTTTTTCTCTGTTTGTGGAATTTTGTTAACAAATTCAGTTAAACAAAACAAAAATGAATCAAAATTACATAATTAGCAATAGTTTTAGTTTGGAAAATGTAATAAAAACTTCATGTAAAAATAATTATTAATAAAAATAAACAAAATTAACTGAAATTCTCATCATTTGATTAGCAATTGTATAAAAAAAAAATTTCAAAGCATGTTTATAATTTGATGATTTTAAATTCTATTTATAAATCATTGTAATATGATCGCGATAGTAATAGTTATTTTCGTTGTAATTTGTAATTTGTTTAATACAAGTAATTGTAATTTCTATTTGTCATGCAAGTGCTAATTTTTAATTATAAAGAAATATTTCAAGAAACCTATAACATAATATTTTCAAACAAAATTAGAAAATAGAAGTTTACATTAATCAAATAAATGAAGTAGAATTGTCTCTGAACAGAACTAGAACTGAACTAGAATTGAACTAGAACTGAACTAGAACTGAACTAGAACTGAGCTAGAACTGAACTAGAACTGAACTAGAACTGAACTAGAACTGAACTAGAACTGAACTAGAACTACTAGAACTGAACTAGAACTGAACTAGAACTGAACTAGAACTGAACTAGAACTGAACTAGAACTGAACTAGAACTGAACTAGAACTGAACTAGAACTGAACTAGAACTGAACTAGAACTGAACTAGAACTGAACTAACTAAACTAGAACTGAAACTAGAACTGAACTAGAACTGAACTAGAACTGAACTAGAACTAAACTAGAACTGAAACTAGAACTAAACTAGAACTGAACTAGAACTGAACTAGAACTGCACTAGAACTGAACTAGAACTGAACTAGAACTGAACTAGAACTGAACTAGAACTGAACTAGAACTGAACTAGAACTGAACTGGAACTGAACTAGAACTGAACTAGAACTGAACTAGAACTGAACTAGAACTGAACTAGAACTGAACTAGAACTGAACTAGAACTGAACTAGAACTGAACTAGAACTGAACTAGAACTGAACTAGAACTGAACTAGAACTGAACTAGAACTGAACTAGAACTGAACTAGAACTGAACTAGAACTGAACTAGAACTGATTTAGAACTGAACTAGAACTGAACTAGACTGAACTAGAACTAACTAGAACTGAACTGAACTAGAACTGAACTAGAACTGAACTAGAACTGAACTAGAACTGAACTAGAACTGAACTAGAACTGAACTAGAACTGAACTAGAACTGAACTAAAACTGAACTAGAACTGAACTAGAACTGAACTAGAACTGAACTAGAACTGAACTAGAACTGAACTAGAACTGAACTAGAACTGAACTAGAACTGAACTAGAACTGAACTAGAACTGAACTAGAACTGAACTAGAACTGAACTAGAACTGAACTAGAACTGAACTAGAACTGAACTAGAACTAAGTCAGAACTGATCTAGTGAAAATATTACAGAACTAGAACAGAACTAGAACAGAACTAGAACAGAACTAGAACAGAA